AAAATTAGGAGAACTATTCTCAATGTGGATATATTCGAAGTGCTTAAGCAAGATAGTACTGCTTGCTATACTATGAAGGAGCTGCTCACAAAGGTCAATCTTTCCAACTACTCCTTGCCAGTTAGTACTCTCTTGTTTGATCTTCAGAATTTGCTGGACAACGTAACTGGCTACCTTCTCCAAGACGAATCTGCTGCCAAGAAGGTTCACGAGAAACGCATTGCCATGGATGCCGCTTATGAACAAGCTTCGAAGCTTTCTCAAGAAGCTGAGGATCAAGCTGTGCATCTGAAGCAGGCGAAAACTGAATATGAGGCTCGAGCTGAGTCCATTCTTATTTGGGAAAGGCAGATTCTGGAACTTCAGCAGAAAGTTAAGGAGGCTAAGGAACAACAACTAGCCTTCGAAACTAATCATGCGGGTAACCAATTCGAAGAGCTTCTCAACCAGGGGCTTGCAGAAATGGAGACTGCAGAACAACTTAAAGGAGAAGTGGCAACCTTGGAAGGTGCCAGGCGGTTCGCTCAGCAAAAACTTGAGACATTTCGAAGCACCTTTAATCGATTGAAAAACAATGTTTATTTCTAGATTTTGATGTTTATCTGACTATAACTTTGGTTTCTTACATGTAATATTTGAACAACGCCATTTTGGCATTCTATCTTGCCATCTTGGCTTTTATAATATTTTTTTTACGTTGTTACTATTCGAATCTCCCGCAGGCTTGGCTTATATTTCTTTAAATATTTCCCATTAACCTTTAGGACACGTTTATCATCCAAGAGTTCTTCGACTTCGTATGCATTGTTTGAGAATACTTTTAATATTCGAAAAGGTCCTTCCCAATGAGGTGACCATTTACCTAATGCTTTGTTCTTCTTATCTATAGGCAATATGACTCTCCAAACCAAGTCATTAATAACGAATACTTTTTTCTTCACCCTTTTATTGTATGTTCTGGCCACTCTTTCTTTTTGCCTCATCAAAATTTCCAACGCATGTAATCTAATTTCGTCCAACTCAACTAATTCATTCATCATCATTTCCCAATATAATGCAGCTGGAATTTCGTTTTGTTTCTGAATTCGAACTGATTGCAGATGAATTTCTACTGGTAACACTGCGTCATGGCCAAATGTAAGTTGGAAAGGCGTAGTGTTAGTGGCTTCCTTAGGAGATGTTCTACAAGCCCATAACACTTGGTCCAGAGTTTTGTGCCAATTTCTTGGCTTCTTGCCAATATGCTTCTTGATTAATCCTATTATTACTTTATTTGCTGCTTCGACTTGTCCGTTTGCTTGAGCATAATATGGTGTTGATGTTAGCAATCTAAACCCCATTTCTTTGGCAAATCCTTGCATCTTTCTACCAGTAAATACAGAGCCTTGGTCTGTAGTTATACTTTCTGGAAATCCAAACCTATAGATAATGTGCTTTTGTATAAATTCAATAATTGCCTCTTGATCAGCAACTACCAAAGGTATAGCTTCGATCCATTTGGTAAAATAATCTACTCCCACCAAGATGTATTTCTGCCCTTTAGGCGAAGCAGGATTTATTTCTCCTATCAAATCCAATGCCCATCCTCTGAATGGCCATGGTTTGATGATCGAATGCAACTCACTTGCAGGGGCATGTTGAATTCCTGCGTGTTTCTGACATTCCTCACATCCCTTAGCAAAGTCTATGCAATCTTTGAGCATGCTAGGCCAATACAAACCATATCGAAATAGCAACCATTTCATTTTATGGCCTGCTTGGTGTGCCCCACATGCCCCATTATGGACTTCAGACAATGCTAAATATGCCTCACTTTCTCCTAGGCATTTCAATAATACACCCTCTTGGGTCTTTTTGAACAATTCGTTCCCCGTGAGGAGATATGACAATGCTCTATATTTTGTTTTTCTATCCACCTTTAGAGTTGGGTCTGCTAAATAACTCTTTAACGGACTTCGCCAATCTGCATCTGACAACGTATTTATGGCTAGAATTCTGAATCCCTGTTTCTCAGCATATCCCAATCTCATACTTTCCAGATCCGATGGTGTGAATCTCGTAGCCATAACTCTTCCCCTTATTTCGACCAAATCCTTAAAATTCTTGGTAGATACTTTATAACCTGAAGCCAACTGCGCTAAGTCGTTTGCTTCTTGGTTCTCTAATCTTGGTATGTGTTGAATATCCATGTATTCAAACTTCCTTAATAGCCTATTGACTATGACGAAGTATACCATTAAATTTTCCTTTATGCACTTGTATTCCTTTGTGATTTGTTTGACCACCAATTCAGAGTCTCCTTTAATTTCGACTCTGGTTGCCCCCAATTCCAACAAAGCTTCAAGTCCAACAATGAGCGCTTCATACTCAGCTTCGTTGTTCGAACAACGAGGACCATCCAATTTATACTTGAATTTTGTTGGAATTCCTTCAGGAGAAATTAGAAGGACTCCAACACCACTTCCATTCCTGTGGGTTGAACCATCAAAGTACAATTTCCATGGTTGCATTTCGACGTAACTCATGCTTGTCTGCTCAACCAATGAATGATCCACGATGAAATCAGAAATCACTTGACCTTTCATAGCTTTTAAAGGCATGAAAGTCAATGAATATTCTGTTAAGGCTAAAGCCCACTTTCCAACTCTACTATGCATTATTGGCTTTGAAAGCATATGTTTAATGACATCGAAGTGAGATGAAACATAAACATCAACAGGTTTTATATAATACTTGAGTTTCATACAAGAGAAATATAAACAGAGACATAGCTTTTCTAAATTGCTATATCTGGTCTCTGTATCATTTAGCACTCTACTTAAATAGTATATGGCTCTTTCGACGCCATTGTTATCCTCTTGTGCTAACATACTACCTATGCTAACTTCAGAGGCAGATATGTACAATCTCATGGGCTTCCCCCATGATGGTGGAGACAAAATAGGAGGCTGAGAAAGATATTCTTTTATTTTGTCAAACGCCTCCTGGTGAGCTTCGTTCCATTCGAAGGCCTGACCTTGCTTCAGACGAAGTAACGGAGAGAAAGCTTGGGTCCTTCCACTCAGGTTCGAAATGAATCTTTTGAGGAAGTTAATTTTCCCTAGTAGAGATTGCAACTCCCTTTTTGACGCAGGTGCTTTCGTCTCCATTATGGCTTTGGTTTTGTTCTGGTTGATTTCAATTCCTTTCTTGTGGACCACAAAACCAAGAAAATCTCCAGCCTGCACAAAAAATGCACATTTAAGGGGATTCATTTTTAAGCTATGTTTTCTCATTCGTTCGAATGATTGGCTTAAATGATGCAAATGTGCTTCTGCAGATATAGATTTGATGACTATATCATCAATATGCACCTGCATGAAGGTTTCGATGAAGTCATGAAAAATTGAATTCATCGCTGAAGGGGTGAAAAACACAAGAAGGGGGGGTTGAATTGTAAAACTGAAATCTAAAGCAATTGACAAGATATTTTTATCCTGGTTCGTTTGATCTCAAACTACTCCAGTCCACCCGTCAAGGTGATTTCGCCTCTCTCCAACGAGGTCTTAATTCACTATATTCAACTGAATATTATAGACTGCTTTAACAACTGCTAAAGCCTTCTTGATTCAAACCACAACCCGGTTTGTCAAGGTAACACTTTCTTACAAAGAGATAAAACAATGTGTGTGGATGTTTTCTACAAAACTTTATCACAACTGTGATGTATACACAAATTGAAGCTTAGAAACTAGATTGCTAAACAGTAATGGAGTATCAGAGTATGTGGTTTAGCAAAACTGGTAGAACGAAGATTATGGTTCAGCTTTTGTGCGTGTAGAGATTTGGAGAGCATTAACCATTATAATCTTCAAAGCCTTGTTTATATAGCACTTGAGAAGATGAACGTTGAATGCAATATTCTTGATTCAATGCTAATAACAAGCTTTCCTTTTTGAGCAGATCTTGTCTGGAATGAGGCCGTTGGAATTAATTAGCGTTCAATGCACAGTACCGTTGCTTCTTCAATGCACGTTCTGGCTTGGCTCATTCTGATTCTGCTTCGCTGCTGATGAACTATTGTGTTTCTGTATCAGAGTGTTTGAGCGCAGTCTTGTTCATCAAGCTTCAGCATGTACGTGAGTTGATCATCTGATCTTGACGTTCTGATGTAGCAACTTCTGATGCTGGTGTATGAAATCAAATTCTGATGCTGAATAGACGTGATCTTGCTTGTTTCAATCAGCGTATCTGCAAGTCAGAACATAATAATTTTAGGCAGCAAATAGTTCAAACATGAAACATATAAATACTATATCTTTTCACTTTGTTATCATCAAAACTTAAATATAGGGTAGTAGATTCAAACATTGTTCTAACAATCTCCCCCTTTTTGATGATGACAAAAACTAGATATTTTAAATTAAAATAACGTGAAAAGGTATCTGAAATATGTATCAGAATAAGAAGTAGAAGAATAAGGAGTAAGGAAATACTCCCCCTGAGTTTATTACTTCCCTTTGATTATACGTGTTCTTCAGGATCAGATCTTTTTCTTTCTTTGAACATCAGATTATCAGAGTCTTTGACTTATTAGAGAGCAGAGCTTCAGAGCTTTTCTTGTCAGAGCTTTGCTTTGGATCAGAGTTTCAGGACGATCAGAACTTCATATTGATCAGAGCAACATTGATCAGAGTTTCTAGTCTTCAGAGTATCCAGGAGCTTCCTTGTGCCTGTAGACTTTAAACAAAACAGAAAAAACATTTCAAGTAATAGAGTTAGAATGTTTGAGAATTTCTGTCTAGTTAGCCGTTATTGATTTAAATATCATTCTTGTTCTCCCCCTTTTTGTCAGCAATCAAAAAGTGTTGGTGATGTGCTAAAACAATTAAGATCAGAGAAAAAAAAACTAATTATATTAGGATAGTTCAGAATCAGAGCAAGAAAATATTACAAAACATAGTCAAAACAGTACATCAGAAAATGAAGAAAACATGAAAAAGGTCATGCATGAAAAAGATTTAAGGTTGAGGAGGCAAGCGTGTGAACAGGCGCTCCAGCATCGCTTGAATCTTTTCAGAAGTTTCATTTTGCTTATGAACCATGCTGACAACAGTGTCAATCTTGCTGTCCTGCACATCCATTCTTGCTTTCATCTTCTGATCGTTGTCATCCATCCGCTGCTGCAGACGCAAGTCATTCAGCCTTAGTTCTTCCAGAGTCTGTCTGTCCAAGGCAGCTTGAGAAGCATCAGAAGGAGGAGGCTTCTCAGAACTTTCAGCAACATCCGCTGCTTGACTTTCATCCTGAATGGTCTTGTCTTCTTCTGATGGTTGCACCTTTGCAGCTTGCTGTTTCTCAGACCAAGGTTCACTGTCCAGAGGGAGCATGGCTTCCTGAGGCAGCTGACTTTCAACTTCCTTCAGCAGCTTGCTGAAGTTCTGTTGTGCCTGCTCATAGTTGATATCCTGCAACTTGAGGGCTTCAGCACGTACCCATAGTCTGAACTGTGACCAGAGCTGATCAGAAGCAGCTGGGTCAATCATCCCAGGACAGACTTGCTTCAAAGAAGCAATCCATTGCAGCACACCTGTTTCAAAATTCAAAATACCAGAGCCAACATCTGGTTGCTTTGGTTTTGGGATGGCAATTTTGTGTCTTAGATCAGCAAGACGTTCAAGACTGGTTAAGTCAATGAAAGTCCTGCTGGGGTTTTCAGAGGTTTTCTGAGAGGCTGTTTGTTTTGGTGGAGGGGTATCAGAGTCAGATATTTCGATTGGAGTGGGTGGTGTTTTGGGAGTTTTTGGAGGTGTTGATTCTAATGAGGATGGTAACTGGGGCATGAAAACAGTGGTTCCACATGGCAACTGGATTGCCAGCGGTGATGGTTGAGGTGAGTGAGGGTCAGATTGATGAGGAGAGGGAGTTTCAGAGTGGTGAAACTCTGTTTGTGGTGAAGGAGGATTTATTTCTGGTTGGGGAGAGGGAGGTGGAATCTCTGATTGCTCAGGGATCAGAGGTTCTTCTGAGAGTGGTTGTTGTTGTTGTTCTGGTTGTGGAGGAGGAACATTTTGTGGTGCAGAGTTTGGTTTAGCAGAGGCATGTTCACGCTCAATATCAGCCAGCACTTGGTCAAGTGTTGTTGTTGTTGAAATTGTTGGTTGTTTGGGGAGTTTGGTTCTGGGTCTTCTGAGTAGTAAGGCCTCAGAAGGGTCTTCTTCTTGTATGGTTTCATCAATGGTAGGGATTGGAATTGATATTCTGTGGGAGGTTTGAGGAGGGATAGATGTTGGAATAGTAAAAGATTTTGAAATAGGGGCAGCAGATGAAATACCTCTTTTCTTTGGAGTCTGATGAGTTGATCCTTCTGATGGCGCTTTCCCCTTCTTTGTCTTCTTCAGAGTTACTTCTGGTTGGGTTTGAGTCAGATCTTTGATATTCAGCTTTGAACCTGTATCTTCTGCCTTGTACGCATCTGGATACCTGAGAAACATCTCTGGTTTGGATTCCATTTCAGAAAATACCGGAAAATCACTCAGAGGCACTCTTCTGCTGGAGATATCAGCAGTTGAAGTAGCTCTGGGTTCCTTCTGAATATTTTCTATCAGCTTCATCTTTTTCAGATTCTTTGCGTTCAGAGGTTTCCCAATTGTTGGTTCAATAGTGCTCAGCTCCTGAGCTTCAATCAGATGTTCAATCAGCCTATTCTCTGTTAGAATATCTGATATAAGCCTTCCAAACGGTATCCAGTCCCTCTTGGCTCTTTCTTCTTCTCTTGTTTCTTTCACACTGGTTTTGAGATGGTTGAACAGGAAGTGAGCCAGATTGATCTTTATCTTCTGATCAATAAAGTAGATCAGAAACTGCTGATCCACATTTATATAATCAGGAGAACTTGTTGGTTTCCTGTGGTTGAAGCATCCCAGAACAATCTTAGCCCATACTCTGCAGTGATCCTTCAGATCCTTAATCTTGCTGCTGGGCATCCCAAGAGTGAAAATCCTGTTAGCTACCACAGCTGTATCAGTGCATCTTTCAGCCATGTCCACACAACGGACGCCACCACCACTTTGACCGATTAGCCTTGCAATGAGATCTTCAGAAATCACAATCTTCTTCCCCATGACAGAGGAGATGACTAGATGTTTTGAAACCTTGGCGTGAATCCAAAATTCCTTGACTAGCGCTGGGAATGTTGGTCCAACCAACCTATCGAAATACCTTTCCCACTTTTGAGCCCTAATTTCCTCAGTTAGGTCAAAGCCATTTTCCTTCAAGCTTTCAAAGTCAATGATTAACTCAGAGAGCACTTCAAGGTTCTTCACCGGAGTAAGGAGAGTTCTGAGTGGCACCTGATATTGCTCAGAAGTTGCTTTCTTCTGATTGCCTGCAGAAATGTTGGAGGATGCCATTGTTCACACTAAAAAAGCTTTGAGAATGAATTGAGAAAAAGGTTTGCAAGGGATGAACTCAGAAATATGCAGAAAATGCTTGAGTGTTAATGAGAAAGCGTAAAGAATAAGAATGAGAGATTAATGTGCTTAAATAGAGTTTTCAAAATTATTTTGAAAAGATAAACGTTTTTAAGAGAGAGAAAAATAATGATTGCCATTTAAAAAGCGTGATTACTTTTCATTAAATGCTTGCTGATTTTGGGGGATTTGAGAAAGATACTTAAAAACGGTTACCAGACATGTGTCTCAATGCACCCAATCAGCGCTTTGCCTTCTCAGAAGCGTGCACGCGTTCTGCTTCAGAGATATGCTGATGATTGGATGACACTTGTTTGATGTAGTGATCAGCACGTCTGTCTTTGAGATTAGACTCTCAGATCTTTAGACTTGCATCTGATACAATCTGCATGTTCTATCTTTCTGAAAGGAGATTGATCAGAAATTCACAGTAAAATAATTACATTCTGAAGATAAATATATGGAATTAAAACATTTTCATTCTGGGCATACTTTCATGCTGAGATGTTTCAGAATGAAATTAAACCTATCTTCTGAAAGGGGTTTAGTAAAGATATCAGCCCATTGATGGTCTGTATCTATAAATTTTAAGTTCAAAATACCTTTCTGAATATAGTCCCTAATGAAATGATGTTTTATTTCTATATGATTAGATCTAGAATGTAAAATAGGATTTTTACTTAAGCAAATTGCAGAAGTATTATCACAAAGTATAGGAATGTTACTCTCAAAAATCTGGAAGTCTTCAAGCTGACTTTTCATCCAGAGCATTTGTGTGCTACATCCTGCTGCTGCTATGTACTCAGCTTCTGCTGTTGACAGAGCAATTGTTGATTGCCTTTTGCTGGACCAAGAGATCAAATTTTCTCCCAGAAACTGGCAGCTTCCAGAAGTACTTTTACGTTCCACTCTGTCTCCAGCAAAGTCAGCATCACAGTAGCCTACTAAGCTGTAATCACTAGATTTTCTATAAAACAAACCCAGATTAGTAGTACCTTTCAGATACTTGAAAATTCACTTAACAGCTGTTAAGTGAGATTCTCTAGGATCTGATTGGAATCTAGCACAGATACAAACACTGAATAATATGTCAGGTCTTGAAGTAGTCAGATAGAGGAGAGAGCCAATCATACCTCTGTAGACTTTCTGTTCTACACTTTTGCTTACCTCTTCTCTTTCCAGAATGCACGTGGGATGCATTGGAATTTTTGATGACTTACATTCTGAGAGGTCAAATTTCTTCAGAAGATCTCTGATGTATTTGCTCTGATGAATGTAAGTCCCTTCTGGAGTTTGATTGATCTGAATTCCTAGAAAGAATTTCAGTTCCCCCATGAGGCTCATCTCAAATTCTGCCTGCATACACTTAGCAAATTTTCTTCCAAGAGAAGGATTAGTAGAACCAAAAATGATATCATCAACATCAATTTGACAGACTAAAATGTCACTCCTAACTGTTTTACAGAATAGAGTAGTGTCCACTTTCCCTCTGGTGAATTCATTTTCAAGCAGAAAGTTACTTAGCCTTTCATACCAAGCTCTGGGAGCTTGTTTCAGACCATACAGTGACTTCTTTAGTTTGAAAACATGTTCTGGATGTTTTGTATTTTCAAAACCTGGGGGTTGGTGAACATAAACTTCTTCTTCTATATAACCATTTAAGAATGCACTTTTGACATCCATCTGATACAGAGTGATGCCTCTATTAACAGCAAATGAAATTAAAAGTCTGATAGATTCTAACCTGGCGACTGGGGCAAAGGTTTCTGTATAGTCTATCCCCTCTTGCTGACTATAACCTTGTGCAACCAGTCGTGCCTTGTTTCTGATGACTTCACCTTGTTCATTTAGCTTGTTTCTGAACACCCATCTTGTTCCAATGACGTTGAATCCTTTTGGTCTGGGAACGAGATCCCATACGTCGTTTCTGGTGAATTGATTCAGCTCTTCTTGCATTGCCAGAATCCAGTCATTGTCCAGAAGTGCTTCATCAATAGAAGAAGGTTCAATCAGAGACACCAGTCCCATAAGAGTTTCTTCAGAGTTTCTGAAGCTTGCTCTTGTTCTGATTGGATCTTCCTTTCTTCCTAGGATAGTCTCTTCTGGGTGATCCAAGCTGCTTCTGGGTAATCTCTTCTGAGGTTGATCAACAGCTGTTGTAGGATTTCTAGCAGTGCTCCTTTCAGATGTTGAAGGAATGTCTGTGTTGAGAGCTTCTGATGACTTGTCTTCAGAACCTGCAAATTCAATTTCTATACCTGCAAAAATTTCATTCTGCTTTGACTTTTCAGAGTCAAGCTTGTCATCAAAACGAACACTGATTGATTCTTCCACAATCTGTGTTTCTGTATTGTATACTCTGTACCCTCTTGAGCGTTCAGAGTATCCTAACATAATACACTTCTGTGCCTTAGAGTCAAACTTGTTCAAATAATTCTTTGTATTTAATATAAAGCAAGTACATCCAAATGGATGAAAATATGAAATGTTGGGCTTTCTGTTCTTCCACAATTCATATGGAGTCTTTTCCAGAATAGGTCTTATTGAGATTCTATTCTGAATGTAGCACGCTGTGTTTATTGCTTCTGCCCAGAAAGTCTTAGCAACGTTTGTCTCATTGATCATGGTTCTGGCCATTTCTTGCAATGTTCTGTTCTTTCGTTCTACAACTCCATTTTGTTGGGGAGTTCTAGGACAAGAGAAATCATGCAGAATGCCTTTGTCATTAAAGAATGACTCAAAATCTTTATTTTCAAATTCTCCACCATGATCACTTCTGACTTTAATGATTCTAAGATCTTTTTCATTCTGAACTTGGTTACAGAAGGTAACAAACACAGAGTGTGACTCGTCCTTGTGTCTTAAGAACTTTACCCATGTCCATCTGCTATAGTCATCTACGATTACTAACCCATACTTCTTACCACTGACTGAAGCAGTTTTAACTGGTCCAAATAAGTCAATGTGCAGAAGTTCTAATGGCTTAGAGGTAGAAACAACATTTTTGGATTTAAAAGAAGGTTTTGCAAATTTGCCTTTCTGACATGCTTCACACAGAGCATCTGAATTGAACTTCAAATTAGGAAGTCCTCTGACCAGATTGAGTTTGTTAATCTGAGATATTCTTCTCATACTAACATGCCCCAATCTTCTGTGCCAGATCCACTGCTCGTTGTTAACAGACAGAAGACATTTTACGTTCTGACTCTTTAGTTCAGAAAGTTTGATTTTGTAAATGTTATTTTTCCTCTTACCATTAAACAGGATAGTCCCATCTTTCTGACTAACAGCTTTACATGATTTTTGATTAAAGATTATATCATAACCGTTATCACTTAATTGACTTATGGATAACAGATTATGCATCAATCCATCTACTAGCAGAACATTATTAATAGAGGGAAGATTTCCATTACCTACAGTTCCAGAGCCAATTATCTTTCCCCTCTGATTGCCTCCAAAGCCAACGTGGCCTCCAGGCTTAAGTTCCAGGCTTTGGAACATATGCCTTCTTCCCGTCATGTGTCGTGAGCAGCCAGAGTCCAGGTACCATGACTGGTGTTTCTGACTTGCTGCTAAAGATATCTGCAACATGTATTATTTTGTCCTTAGGTACCCAGATTTTCTTGGGTCCTGACTTGTTAGTTTTACCAAAACTCTGGTTGAATTTTGGTTTCACAGAGTGCTTACTGCTAGTATATTTGATATCATGTGTGTGACCATACACAAAGTGTGAATTTAAAGGAGTGTGTTTAATGGTTAAGTCCATGACATTCTTTGGTGTAGGAACCTTACCTTGGTATCCTATTCCTTTCCTGCCGTTTCTGCTAACTCCATAGATCATTGAAGCCATTCTGCTTCTATCTATGCTTTTAGCAAGGAACTTCTGGAAACTGTGATCATACTCCTTGATGATCTCATCAGCGTTGCTGGGAGTTTCAGAAATTGGTTCCTTCTGAGAGTTTTGTAAAGTGTTTTCTAATTTTGAAATTTTATCTCTCAGCTCAGAATTTTCCAATTTGAGACTCTCAGACTTATTAGAGTCAGATTCAAGATTCCTTTTCAGGTCTCTGAATTTAGCTCTAATCTGCTGATAACGTTCCAGAATCTCATTAAGGCTTTCAGCAAGTTCAGCCTTTGTAAAGTTAACAGCGAAGTTAGGAAATACCTCTTCTGTGTCTGATTCTGAGTCTGATTCAGAAGCTTCACTATCTTCTGAAATGTTTGCCATGAGAGCGATGTTTGCCCTTTCATCATCTGATTCTGAGTCAGCTTCAGACGAGTCAGAGTCATCCCATGTGGCCATGAGACTTTTCTTCTTCTCTCTTCCAAACTTCTTTTTGGGCTTTTCCCTCTGAAGCTTTGGGCAGTCACTCTTGTAGTGTCCTTGCTCATTGCACTCGTAGCAGATGATGTCTTTGGTGTTTGGCTTCTTGCTACTGGAGGAGCCTTCAGATCTTCTGTATCCAGAGGAAGAATCTGTCCTTCTGTATCTGGAAGAAGACTCGTTCTGATCAGATCTTCTGGGATTCCTGAACTTCCTTTGTCTTTGCTTCCACAGTTGATTTACTCTTCTGGAGAGAAGGGAAAGTTCGTCTTCTTCTGATGAGGATCCATCAGATGTTTCTTCAACTGCCTGCAAAACTTTAGACTCAGATTTTCTGTTAGATTTTAATGCTAAAGGCTTACCTTGCTTCTGAGGCTCATCAGCTTCTAGCTCTATCTCATGACTTCTGAGGGAGCTTATAAGTTCCTCCAGAGTGATTTTGTTGAGATCTTTAGCTAGCTTCAGAGCAGTAACCATAGGCCTCCACTGCTTGGGTAAACTTCTGATTATTTTCTTGACATGGTCAGCAGTAGAGTATCCTTTGTCCAGAACTTTGAGACCAGCTACCAGAATCTGGAATCTAGAGAACATAGTTTCAATGGATTCAGATTCT